GGGGGGGGGGGGGGGGGGTCACGCACACGCTAACGCTATGATGCAGTTTACTTGGCATCTGAAAATACATTTCCTCAAGGGTATTTTGAATCTGAAAAGAGCTTCACTGAGTGGGAAGTAGCCTAGTGTTAGGAACTCAGCAGACAGTTTCACTTTCAGTTTCACTCGTATGCTTTGTTACTGCCAAGAGCCTGTAGGAGTCATGGTCGGGGTGTGTGGGGTGGGGAGGTGTGCTCCATAATAAGGAAGCTCAGCTTAAAGACACGTCCCAGGGGCGTTTCTGGTCCCCACCAGTCATTTTGCTCCTCAGCATGGCTGCCTAAAAACGCTGCAGGATTTCTCAAACACGCATGAATGAGTCAGAGCAAGGCTTTTGGCATGTTTTTTTTATGAGAGTATAACATTACAACATGATACAAAACTCACAAAAGTTTATTTTACATGATATTGCCCCTTTAACTCTTGCTCATTTAAATTATATCGATGACTTTAATGATGAAAGTATGGTTATGATGTCAAGTTTATGGCAACAATATCTTAGATCATTAATTTTGACCAAAAAAAAAAAACAAAAAACAGTAGCATTTCTTGAAGGAATCCATATTGTGTGCTAACACACAAACACATTGTTAGGCTCATGATCACCAGGAGTTATTTTAATGATTGATTGTCTTCAGCAGTGGATTATATTGCGATATATTGCATATTCCCATCTTTAAAGCCCAATGTCTTCTCTTTCAGTGATCCAGTCAAGAGAGCCAGGCTGGTTGGAGGGGGAGCTGGAAGGAAGGAGGGGCCTCATCCCTGAAAACTATGTGGAGATGCTGTAAACCAGACAGAAATATTTATGGACACTTTTATTGCGTTCACCAAGAATTCACAGTAGGGCTTCTATCCAAGTGACAATACCATATTTTTACTGGTAAACTATCGTCGACACACAAGTTTACACATTTTTGTGCTGACTGGTGCATGTGTGAACAAGTTGCTTTGTTTCAATTCGTTATGGCCAAGTTTTCACAGCAACTTCACCCTTGGAACCTCAAGGATGGTATTACATGTTCAGTGCTGTGCTGTTTAGCTATAGCCTCTTGATATCCAAGTCATTTAGTTGCAGCTCCAGTAAAACGGGTGCCTGAGCTCACTCTCCTCTGCCAAGTTATCCATGGTATCCATGAGCTCCATGTCAAAGGGAGATCCTCAGAAACTGTAAGGTTGAATGTTCAAGACACTTTAGTTTTTAACCCACATGAACATAAAGCAGATTATTTTATTAGATTACAGATACCCAAGTGCCTTAACAGAAGCACCGTTGTATGGGCATGTCTGGAAACAAATTGGAGTGTGGCTGCTTTTACATATATAAAATGTTTTAATCTTCTGTTATGATGAGACTAACTTGTTATTGAAACATGGCACAATGCCCCTATAATTTAATTTAATTGGCACATTTATTGCATGGTATTTGAATTTTAAATACACTTTGTGTTTTGTTTTGTTTTGTTTTTTGTTCTTGGTGTACACTTTTACAAAATCTCAGCAAAACCCTGCTTTGGTGCTGATGAGCTCTGTCATGTTGAACACTTGCATCAGTTGATTGTAATGTTCAATACCAAGTATTTTTTCTGTCAAATTATCATCTATTTGGTTGTTTTTAATTTTAACTATGCTCTATTTTTTATGAGCATATTAAAAAAAGCACTCCAACAAAGTTTAATTTTGTAGTTCCTTGAAGAATTACAGAGTTCTACGGCTGTTCAGCGTTCATGACCTTGTTGATAAGATATAAAATAATTGCATGTGTTCTGTTAATTATCACGCTGATTTAATTTTGATTTGGGTTGATTTTAGCATGTCTGATCGTCACATTACATTTCTCTTCTCAGCTGTTTTGTTTTTGGTTTAGCACATTCTGTTATCAATTCTGGTTACAAAAAATTAGAATAATTTCATGAGTTTCTTTGAATTTCCTTTTTTTTTTTTGTTTTCCTCCTTCTTCTCTTGATTGATGTCCAGTGAAGTTTATTTTGTTTTGTTTTGTTTTGTTTTGGTGTATTGTGTATTCTTGATTTAAAAAAATAATAAAAATTTATTATTGATTTTAATTTTTGCTAAACCTGTTTTGATTTTTCATCTAAATATGATCTTGCTTGTTTTGTGTGTCGTGAAGTGTTGAAGTGCCTCAGGTTATTTTAGTATTTTTGTTTTTTTTCCACACAGTGAAAGATAAATCTTTGAGGCTTTAAATAGTGCCATTGGGAATTTAAATGACAATTTACAGATTTTAAATTAATGATCCCTTTGTCACTTTTTAGTCTTAAATAAATCATATGAAATGCAAAAAGTGTGTAAATACATGGCTATTGCACAGATTTTAAAAAATGTGTTTACACTTAGGACTGTCACATTGTTCTAAAACACTTAGTATACAGTGATTTGAAATGCACAATAGAATACACCATTTAACATTTGGTGCATTACAGCAAATCACCTGTTTGACCCATCAGTTGTGCTGGAGCAGTGACTGTTCAGTCAGCTTAAAACTAACAGTTTTAGCAAATACATGTTGCATATACAAGGTGTGTCAATATGTCCCACTGAGTAAAATCCTGTTCATATCTATATTTATACCTTGCCGTATTTCTTTGATACAACAGTACCAAACCTAGAATGCAGCAGTATTTTTCCTAATTATTATGTTCACATGAAATGTTTAATACTTGCAGATGAAAAAATGTTTGTTTCTTGCAAAATTATCTTAATGTTACTAGAACAAACTTGCTCTTATTGCTTCAGTTTACCTTTTTTTATTGGCTTTAAGTAAATACGGCAGTGAAGATCCATCCAAGAACAGCTTTGTGAATTTTGCTGAAGGTGCGCATTGACAAAAGTATTCATGATTTTTTTTTAAGACTTTTGGAAAGAAATTGATTTATACAAGGCAAAAGTATATAACTCGCATAGTCAACCAATAAAATAAATATTTTATTTCCAAATGGAAATGAGACTGTCTAATAAAATCAGTGTCTGCAATCTGCATTAATTAACAAGTAATTGTGAAACTAACACCTAAATGTATATATTTTAGACGTTACCTTGCACCTTTCTGAGGAAAGGAAAGTTTGTTAAAGAAGTAAAAGTGAACAGTAAAGTGAAGTCTAGGTTTTTTGATGACTCATTGGTGTTTTCTCCCGGAAAACCCACAGTTTCCCACAGAGTTGAAGAATGAAATAAATAAGATGGCTGATTTACATATCCAGTGAGCCGTGTAGTGCAGTGTTATCCTCACTGTATTGACCTGCAGCTACTTCCAAAATAACTTTCAATAAGAGGATTAAAAATAGATGATAATCTTTTCTCAATGAGAGTATCTTTAATCCACACCCTCCACAGTGATCCAATCATATCACAGCTTCAGTGCAGGTTCATTCTGAAAGACCTAGTTCTTTTGACCTTACCAGCAGTCAATGACCAGATTACAATTTGACCTGTCTCCATTAGGTGAATACATGGATATTCACATATGGACTTTCTTCTTGAACAGTAAAGGTTGTGGCTTTGGCGTGACTTGTGTCAGGATGCTAATATAAAACGAGGCAGAGCTAATGGAATAGGTAAAACATTTATCCACACTCGCAGCCACCACCACCCACACCACAGGGTCCTTCATCATCTCCCCTCTGCCAGAATATTGCTGAGTCATGAAGACATCCACTCTGCCTGCCTCTCACTTTACTTTGGACTGGAAGTGATGCTGTCTACTTTCATTTCTCCATTTCCCTCTGCCTAACCGCTTGTCACTCTGTATTTATACTATTTTTCTTTTCCTTTTTTTTTCACCTTTCAAGAAAGTTTATTCGCTCATTTCTCTTGATAAAAATGAACACCAAATTACTATAAACTACAACATAACTGTGTGGGGGGTTCTGTACATTTGTATGTATATTTTAAGAGTACCAGTCTGTAATAACTTATACAGTTGTGGTCAGAAGTTGAAATTGATCATAGCCATAAATGTAAATAATTTGGGGCTTCAATGATTTGTATCATTTTTAGTAAAGAAGGATTGAATAAACAGCATTAATGACTTTAAAACAAAAAAAAATAAGCTCACAAATTTGAATTATTTTGAACATGTTCACACAGGGTCAAAATTACAAGCTCAAAGTTGTTGTTTTTTTTTTTCATGACAAGAAAGCCTGTCAACTTTTCATAAGTGATCACAACTGACTGCAACTGGCAGTTTCTTGTAGCATAAAAAATAATTTGTTAGACAACACTTAGAAGGATTGACTAACTCCTGTAACAATGGAACTCCCAAGGAACTAACGGCCCTGTCACACTAACAACTTATGCCAACTTATGAACATTTAAAAGATGTCTACGTTAAAGATGGAATTGACTCAACAGGAAGCTTCTTTTCGGTGTGTTCATAATGTAATTCTAACAAATTGATTAAATATATAACCTTTATTGGCAATTTAGACATAAAAAATGTTTCATAAGTTGGCATACGTTGTCTAGTGTGACAAGGCCTTTAGCAAAGAAAAATAGGAAAAGATTACAAAAAATGTCATGAGCTGAAAACGACTGGAACAGCAGTGTGTCTGAGCCAAAAATGAAATGCTCACACTTGGCTGAAATTTGCTGACAGTACAAATATTTTCTAGACAAACCTATTTGGTCAAATGAGGCAAGGTTTAAGCTTTCAGACGTAAGCATGGTGGTAGTATGAAGTGGTACTGTTGTATTGCACAAAATGGATTGTTCAGTAAAACAGAACTACCTCCAAATTCAACCTAACCTCAAGTCAAAAGTTAGATGGCTAAAATGTGGAAATAAATGCATGTTCCTATGAAAAAACACACACCAGAACTGGTTATGATTGGATAAAGTAAGCTAACATTAAATTTCTGTAATGGCTTTCCCAATGACAACCCCAATGAAAATCTGTGGGCTGAGTAAAAACAAAGTCCAACCATTTTAGAATAAACTTTATGTATTCTGCCAAGCAGAAAAGGACTCAAACATTCAGCCAGAAGCCAGGGTGCAACTGCTGAGAGGTATTTAACAATACAGAGTTGGAGTGTATGTATACATGGATGCCTATATGTTTAATTTTACCCTTAGAGAAAATCTATAATATGTTCAAACCATTGACCACAACTCTATGTTGTTATTTGCAGATTTTAGCCTAGATAGAGGCTGCGTTTGAGTGAAACTCCACATGGATGTGCTTGTTTCTCCCTCCCCAGTTCTGGCCGAGTGCCCGGCAGTCCACTCGCCTGCTGTGACGCAGTGTCCTTCAGCCTAAAAACTCACCACACCGTGACTCAGCTGAGATCAAAGCTCTCCAGTCATTTACCGTCGACTCTGAGAACATGACAATACTGGACAAAGTGCCCGATTTTCCAAACTACTGGAGTGGTGGCTGGTGGGGGTGGGAGGAGGTCACTCTAACTTAATACTTTCTGGTGTCTCCGCGTGTTTCCTTCAGGGAGCAAAGCTCAAATATAATCACAGTAAGACTTGATGTATTATTGAGGCTGAACACTCAGCGGGATTTTGGAGAAAAGTGAATTTCATACATAAAGGAGAGAGTGTGGAAGGGAAAAAAGCAGCTCAGAAAGTGGGCCACAGAAGCTGCCATGTGCGCGGGTGCAGCCGTGAAATCAGCCTGATCCAATAGATTCTGTTTATCTGGCACGACTACAAGTGAAAGCAATTGGAAATCTGGGGGAGATTTGGAGAAGGCTGTGATTCAGAGAGGGATGGAGGGGGGAAATGAGCAAAAAGTAAAAAAAAAAAAAACAAGTAATACTGTCTGCTCTACAGACTGGCAAAGCAGGCGTTTGTTCAGAACAGCTTTTAACAAGGTTAATGGTGATTTTCCCTCCACGGGCACCGTTTGACTGTAAAAATCTTATGCTTCCTTTCCTGTTTTTTTTTTCTTTTTATTCCCTCTCTGTGCTGTACCTGCTGCTGCTCCTCATCATAACTGCTTCTCCATGCTTAGGCGCTGGGCTTTTTGGCTCATTATCTACCCCAGGCGCCAAATGCAGCTGTTTAGAAACCAATCTACATCAAACTGTTAGTTTTACTTTTTTATACAAATATACGTAGTTTCTTCTTCCTGTTTAAATTTTACTGCACACTGAATCTTCAGCACACACAAATCATCACATCACTTCAAACGATCAGTGTAATGGGTTTTATTAAAATCTTGAATTATTTCTGCAAACACAAGGATGGCATTTATCGTGCACGACGGTGTACAGTAGCTGGTTTTAAAAAGGGATTGTTGAGGGAGGCTCACTGTATTCGCTAAGAAAAGTTTTTCTGGGTAAATGTGTTTAAGAAAAGTATTTGTATATATTAATAAATAAAGCACCACTATTGCTGTGGAAATATGGCTTGATCTGTCTACACCCGATCCACAACTCCAAAAACGTAAAATGTTTTGACTTCTACATATAAGGTGATGCAAACACCAGTTAAGACTAACTTTGAGATGGCAAGCTGCAAAGGAGAGTAACTTTTAGAATACAACAAAGCTCCCCCATGAGTGTGGGGAAAAGTTTTATTTTATAGCTGGCAAGTAATGTTGGAATCATTAAATAAACTGTAAGTTAAACTTCCTCCAAAGGACTGCTTTGATGATTTGGGAATAGTTTTGTTTTCTAATTACAAGAAGATAAAGCCAGTATTAATAGAAAAGTGACCTGATTTTTCTTTTTTCTCCTTTTGCTGTAGTAATATATTAGATAACTCACAATGCAGATTGAAAATAATGGTTTGGTAGTTATCAGTAGTCAGTATTTTACCTGCAGCACACAACATAGTGACATCCCAGAGTGGATTTTTTTTCCCATCTGAAACAACTCAAAACCTAAAAGAAATCAGGGCAGTTCATGCAAATTCTGCTTTTTAAAACTTTGACACCATGAACAGTTTTGCATCAGATGTGTATTTACACTAAAGCCACTGCTTTGCAATTCATTCCAATAATGTTCAGTCTGAAGCACATGCTGCAGAACATGTTGGGCAGAA